AGTTTATTCAAATCTATGGTTATTTTTAGAATGTATGATATTAAAAAATAAACAATATGTATCACAGATTATGGGACATGTTTTAGTGTCTGTTACAAAAATATCTCTTGGACCACATAAGAAATTTATCACTGCATGAACAACGGATTAACTTCTGGATTTAACCTAATTCATGATGTCCACAACAGCTAATCGGCTCTGACAAACAAACATGATTGTATCCAAGTTCATTTTACAGATATTGAGCTAAAACTTGGTGTGAAAGTAGCTGACAGTAATTCACAGCACATAGTTTGAGCCTGATGTGTTGTGAGATCACGCATAACATTATTTTCAAGGTTGGACYAAAACGTTTTYGACAGTTTTGTCAACTTTCAACATATGATCTCAGTCTAAAACTGTGGCCTGAAAGTTTAGTTTCACTCAGAGGTTTTGGAGCAATTCTTTATATGAATGAACTCCACACAATGGGGGTTAAGAAAAATAAATATATCAGTGCGTCATATCAGAGCAATCACAACTTTCTTTTTCAGAACTTCSACATTAACACATTATTTTGAAAAWWTATTTAGTGGCACAAGTACAGATTTAGTGCGAGGCCTCAAGGCCTTGGCTTGACTTGTGTTATCAGCATTGCTCATTAATCTGTGGCTCTGTTTGATGTGTGCTCTGTATCCAATTTGACATGAGGGAGAGAAAAACCTCAAGCACCTCTTTTTAGTTCTTGTTTTATGTGTGTGGTTGTTTTTGAGATGCCAGTCTTAGTTAATGAAACATGTTTTTCTTGTTTAAAACAGCTGCTCCCATTCCGGGGCTGAACTATTAAAAAAAAATGCTTTGAGGTTTTAAGTTTAAAAGTTTATCCTCGCTGACTTTACAAAATAGCAGAACATTTACCTTTGATAATGCCAAAATGCTGATTTGTTTTTAATAGATTTTATTTTTGAAGTAATTGTCATAAACTTAGGATTCCCTGACTTAAAGGTATAAAATCATGGCAAAYGGACAAAAACATGTCTGCCAATATTCTTCTCAGTGATAGTTAATGTGTCCTTAAATTAAGGAAAACTGTGGCCAAAATTACCACTAAAACAGCTGAAGTGACTGATAAAATAGATAGCCGTTTAGTAAGGGTGCAATGATACAGAAAATTCACAATTTGGTTTGGTTAATTTTTTTAGTCTCATGGTTCAAAAAAAAGAAGAAATTTCCATCCCCTTTATTGAAATTAGTTATGAGTTATGTTTAACCTCAAAAGTARTTTTTAAATTAAAGTGCCTGTGACATGCCTATCTTTCAAATAGAGAAAGTCAAAGAAAGCATCTTTATACTCAAGAAAATTGGCATAGTACACATGATTTTACCCATTTTGTCACATAACTGGCCTGTTTTCTTTTGAATTTGGCTCAGCCAAAGTGAAACAGGAAGTGACATCAAAGGGGAACTCATTAATAAAATAAACTCGCTGGTCTCTGTTTATTAAAACAAATTATTTAAACTTTAACTCTTCTTCATCTCTCTTTGATAGCAACTAAAATAATCTAAAGAAAACATCAGATGATTCTCTACAGTCTGTTTYGTTAGCCTTTGTAAYAACGCTCTGTTTACATGCTGACATTCCCCTTTGACATCACTTCCTGTTTCTTGACATGCAAACATCTCAACAACTGTTCATCTCAGCAATGTGAAATTTGTTTTGCAACATGCTATCAATATTATCTTTCCAAAAATGCATTCATGTTTATTACAAAAATTTGATGTCACAGGTCCTTTAAATRTTACTGAAACAGCAAGTTTCTCAGTAGATCTGCGCTCGACAATGCAGCCTAGGTGGAGTAATCGAACACAGATCCACTGATCCTTCAACACAGAGCATCTTCAGAAGACAAGTTGATAAATAAGTTTGAAAAAACTGTAGTTTCATACATAGTGTGTATTGAACGGTTCGATACAAATACATGTATTATTGCACCCCTACTGTTTACCTACGACCAACGTGGTTTTTGTTGGGTTCAGCTGAGTGTTTTTGTCTATGTTTAGTGTGGACCCACATTTCAGATTGCATTCAGTATTTCAGCAAAACTACTTGGATAAAGCTTTTCAAAATGCACCACTTGTTAAAGTTCAGGATAAACTTTTTTTTATATATTTGGGTTCGTACTTTGCAATGACTTCCTTTTTAACATCAATATCAAGATGATCAAGGTGATAAATTAGAAATATTGYGTGTTTTGTAGAGTTCTGGAGCCAGTTAAACAATTAGGGAAGCATTTGACCTTTTGTTGAAAGTGATATTCCTTTAGTTCATGTTAAGAATGATGCATAATGAATGCCAGAGGCTTTTTTTTTTTTTGGAGTAGAGCATCCTTATGGTGCACAAGTTGTCTATCAAAATTTCTGAWGAGTGGCTTTGTTTTGTAGGCACTGATCAATTTTTCATCTCTTGGGATTCTTGAACTGAGACTGACCTGACCTTGCTGACATCAAATCAGTCATAGCCTGTACTTTCTGATCCTACTAATGGTGCTGATGGAGAAGAACCATGCATGGGCCACTGCATGGGCGAGGTCACCCAGGGGTGCTCCGATGCGAGCATCTATAGGAATGCAAATGTGACCGACTGCCTGACCAGTAAGCTACAATAGGAATAACAGGAGCTTGGGGCGGATGGTGCAGCTGCCCCATTAGCTTTAATCACTGAGTCACACAAAAGAAAAACATAATCAAGCTGTGTGACTGTGTCACAAAAAGAGACAAATGCACGAGGCAGCTTGTGTTGTTTAGAGCACCGTCTGACCTCAGGGAGAACTTGACAGTGATTAAAGAAACCTTTAAAAGGACGGATGGGTCATCGGGTCATGAGTGATAAGTGAGGTCATGGAGGATTGTCAGKAGTTTGTTCATCAATTTTGTCTCCAACTTTGTTAAACCGAAACGCACAAAGCAGCTCYGTTTTATCTTTGATTTTCTTTTTTCTTTTTTTCAGTGAAAGTTGGAACAATAGCATTCTCCTTTCAACAGTTTAGCCAAGCCGTAATTTATCACTCAGGTGTGTGAATTTGTGGGAAAGGCTCTTTAAAGGGATCAACATGCCACAGTCACTTCACACTCATTTACTTCACCTCAGAAGCACAAAAGGAAACACAAAAGATTGCCTCTTCAGGGAATTGCAGTGAACTCATGTTTCTGCTCAAAGATAAGTCTTAAAACATTWAAAAAGGTTTTTATTATTATTTAACATTACGATCTCAAAGTAGTGTAATTATCCATTTTTTATCTGTAAAAACCCCTCAGTTATCAGTAAGAATCTGAGGCTATAAAAACAGTTGAAACCTCTTTTGATATTTTTTAGCTAAGCCTATAAAATAAATGATAAAAAAGGCTATGGTTAGCTCTAATTTATATGCAAATGTTAGCAAAATATCTCATGAATAATTAGATTTTAGGAAATAATCACTGGGTGGACATCTACAGCTGATTGACTTTTGGAGTAATCGCTGTTCAAAATGGCTGCCACAGCTAAGCAACCTTAGCCTACATCCAGTCAACATTAGAGATGTTGAGCTAAAATTTAGTGTGGTAGTTGCTGAGAGTCATCCGAGTGCTAACAGATCATTCAAGATGTCCCATTAGACGAGGTCATTTAAAAAAAATTTGGCTGAAACAAATGTATCTCCATCCCTCCTTCCCATTCAGTCTAAAACCCATTCCTAACAGGCRATATGTATTCCTTTCCTTTTATTTATAAAAATGTATTACTTAAACAAGATAAAACTGAGTATCACTGTCAAAGACTTACAACTCCAGACAGAAATAGTTTCCAACAGCTGTCAACTATTTCAATTTCCAGTTGGTGTAATAGATACTTGGTGTGCAGGGAAGAAATACTGTATAATTAAGGTTTGAACCACCTTTTTCAGCTTTGTGCTGTCTTCCTCTTTTAAGTTTTCTAAGTGTTCAGGGTGCCTAAATGTAATTTAATGCTTTTCTGATGCATACTGAGTACTTAGGCGATATAAAGCTTTTTTCCCAGAGTTTTAGAAGCTGTAAAGTTTTAAATGCATTTATTTCTATTAAATTAAACATTGCAATGGCTCATATCACAGCTACTTTATGGATACTATTTAATAGACCTTTGTCAATATAGTTTTGCCGCCTTGGGCATCTACTGCAGGGTCTGCCTGGGAACATCATCAAACAAGATTCCAGTGTCTCCAGCACCCTTCCAGTGTCTCCAGCACCCAGTCTCAGCTTCATCATGATGATTCTCCCTCTGACCAATCTGATAAGTTACACATGACTTACCAGAATTAAAGAACTGCAGCCTCAAGCAGATGTTGCTCTGTACACAGCCCACAGTGTGGAAAACTGGATTTCAAGAATAATGGGACTTAACTTTATTGGATCTTTTATTGTATAAGGGAAAATTCAGCTAGTAAAGCCAAAAACTTATACGTGTTTAGAGGTCCGATTTTCCCATTCTACATTTGTTTTTATTTTTTAGATTAAGTCCTGGTGTTCATAGTTTCAAATGTGAATGAGTACAATTGGTCTCTAGTAGACTTCCTTTTGACTGTATGACATTTAGAGAGTAGTCTCTTGAGTGCATTATTTTATTAAACTGAGCAGTTGAAAGCACTGAACAAAGTAGTAGAAATTATAGTTTTAGTGCAAGTTGTTTTTGTGATTGAGATGAGACAGAAAAGTTAGTTTTTTTGCTCACTTTTATTCTTTAATATGACCAATGTTTTCATATTCAAGTGTGTATGAAAAAAAGTCACTGGTTTCTTAAAAAGCTAAATACAATAAGCATTAGATCAAGGCACATACAAGACTGGCCAAAGGGCATACAATGCACTTTGGTTTTCAAATGTAAAGAACCTTTAACTTCAAATTGTGGCAACATAAAAGTGTGTTCATTTGAAAAATAATACAAAATATAAATCAGAACAAGAAATTACTGACACCGTGGAAATTCTGAGAAAAGCCAACAAGTTGTCTTTTTTTTTTTTTTGGCCTGAAGACTAGAATGACGTATGGTACATGGTACTAAAGAATGCCGCCATTGTCATTTGGCCTTTGTTGGCTTTTACAAATCGTTGTTGTTTGGTGGGGGGATATCTGTGTCATCTTGACCCCTACTTGTATGAGGAGTAGCAAGCTCCTTAAGGTCAATGTGCTTTATGCCCTGTGCTGTGGCCTACAATCCTGTCAGTAACATTGGAACCCTGCTCTGCTGTGTTTCATCTTCTTGAAAACAGAACAAAATAATGCATTGAGCAAAGCAGAAACAAAAATCATGGCACCTTATCTTTAGTTATTCATAGCCACACATTAGGTGAATATGAGAGAAAAAAAAATCTTGGTCCATAGTAAGTGGTGATAGCTACTGACTGCTCATTCTGTTGGAGGACAGCATGCCTGCTTTGTRAATTAGTCAATCATCTGTGCCTTTTTAGTTTATCGTCTTGCCATTTTTTGGCCTTCTTGTTTTTCTAAACAGCCACAAAGGTAAAAGAATGACCTGTGCTTATACTACAAGGTTTCCTAAAGTCTGATTGTTCAACACAGCAATGAAAACCCACTTTCACAGTTGACAAGTCATCATATCTTAATAGAACACAGAGTTTCTTTTGTTGGTTGATAACCTTAAGCAAAGGAAATACAGTACAAATTACTACAAACCCCTAAAATATAGAAGGTAGGTGCAGGTAGTTATTCACTGATAGTTCAGCGATGGCCTGCAACTGGAACGTTCTTCATCTTCATAAAATGTCCTTAAATATAAATTATATGGCAAATGTACAGAACATTGCTTCCTTAGTTCTATATATCCAGTGTTTTGTAAAAGTCTTGCCACTTTGTTTTAGTCACACACTCCTCGTGAATGTCCGTGTGTAATATCATGAATGGGAATGATCTGAATCTGGTATTCCACTGTCTCTGTAGCTCCTGTTGTTAATGCTGTTGTCAGTATGCGGGCTTTTGTATAAACTTAAGCCATTAGGTGGAAAAATTGTGTGTATCACAAACTCCTCCTTGGACACAGGCAGGTGATTTATAGGTATCATTTGAAAAGAAGTTTCTCTTATTTCTAGGATGGAGTTGTCCTTTTTAGTGCCAGCCTCAGCGTAGTCATCCTTTCTCCGGCGGCCTTTATTGTAGGTGCAGTTCCTGGAAAAAAGTGAACCATTCCTGTGGACGTACCAGCACACCAATGCCAACATTATTATTGCCAAAAGAGCCACAGCCCCTCCGATGATGGCAGCCAAAGGCAGACTGGAATTTTTGTAAGGCTCTTTCTCCTGCTCTCGGTTTAAAGTTGTAGTCGGGTGGTATGGTTTGTGAGATACGGTCTCCGTGTCAATGCAAACAGGGGTCTCATCTGACAGGTAAATATTGCTGGTCTCCATGGGAACCATGCATATTCTATAGGACGACTCTGGCTCCAGCGCAGTGAGCAGATACTCCGTCTTCTCTCCCTGCACAATGGTTTCGGTGATGGATCCAAAGGCAGGGCTGTGTCCCAGCTTCAGCCAACTGAGCCTCAGGGCAGTCATGGGTTGTGACACTCTCCATGATATATGTATTGCGTCTGCACTACTTGATTTCACGCTGATGGTGATGATCTTTCTGCCTGAAGAGGTGGTAGTGCTGTGGTAATTCTTACTGATGTCGGGTCCTTTTACCACAGGCCTTTTAGTGACAAATAAGGGCCACTGGGGCTGTGATGGACGTAAATTGTTAGAGACTGTGCTCGTCTCGTATGTGGAGTACAGTTCTGAGTCCATGCACCCAAACATGTCTGTAGTTAGGTCCTTAATTGCCATGCCTTTGACCTTATCGGGACCTTGGCACATGAAGCCTCGAACATTCACCTTAGAAGGCAGTGACCGCAACCAGTCACGCACCCATTTGAGCCTGCAGTTGCATTGCCAGGGGTTGTTCCGCAACAGTAGTTGTGTGAGATTGTCCAGATCTTCAAACACACCCTGTGGGAGACTGCTCAGGTTGTTACCAGACAAGTCCAGGCGGTACAGCTGCCTGAGGAAAGCAAAGGCCCCAGGTGGGATCCGGTTAATGTGATTATCTTGTAGGTTCAGCTTTTCTAGACTGGTGCCTGGCAAGTTTGCCGGCGGTGATGTCAAGGAGTTCCTGACGAGCGAGAGCTCAGTCAGGTTGATCAGGTTGATGAAAGCCATCTCTCCGATCCCTCGGTTGTTGAGCAGGTTACCATCCAGGATTAGTCGTTTCAGGTTGATGAGATCTTGCAGCGATTGCTCTGAGATGGAAGAGATGCGGTTATCATCAAAGCGCAGCTCCTCGATGCTCATGGGTAGACCTGAAGGAATGGCGCTCAGATGGTTTCGGGAGAGAAACAGCAGTCTCAGGTGATTACTGTCCCTGAATGCCCCTTCCTCTATGCTGACTGCTGATACAGAGTTATCATCCAGGTGAAGTTCCTCAATGTAGGGAATCTGGGCTAAAGAGGCATGGGTAATCATCCGAATGTTGTTCTCCTGCAGGTGGAGCTCTTTTAGCCCACGGGGAAGATTAGTGGGGAACTCATCCAGATTGTTACAGTACAGGTAGATCTTCTCCACGTTTGTGAGTCTGCGGAGCTCAGCAGGAATGCCCGAGCTCTTAATGCGGTTGTTCTGCAGAAACAGAACTGTWGCATCCTGGGGCATACCCGTAGGAATGGAAGTCAGGCCACGGTCATTACAGTATATGAAGGTCCCGTCACAGCGACAGCCTGAGGGACATGAGGCAGAGGTGACCAGAGGGTTCGCAAGACCCAGCAGCAGCCCGATCCTGACAAGGAAGAGGATGAAGGACTTGCACTGACGTACCATCTTGAAGGTTTGTATCCTGGCAGTCTAATCACTCAAGAGGCCCTGGGGAGAAAAGAACAAAATAAGATTTAAATTATAGTSTAAGGCCTTTACAGGAGAGCAGAATTCCAGTTTTGTCATTGCAGAGTGTTTGAAAAGCTGCCTACAGCACTTTTTAGATACTGCTGAAAGAATCAGTTTGTATTTTTCCATTAGACTGATATGAATTAATGATGATGATTACTACAGAGTGGAAGCATATAAACTGTAAGCTAGGTTTTCATCTATTAAAATATAAAGATCCTAGAATTAAGTGTTTAAAAACATGAAATCAAAACTGAGCTGTAAGTGTATTAAAAATATTTAAGCTCTGTGAATCAAAAATCTTTTCCTCGACTTTTGCCTTTCTAGAAATGTTTTTTCTTTAGACACCTTTTTCTACAAAATGGCTATCTACTGTTTGTACAGGACATAAAGGTGAAGATGTTTGATTTGATTGACAAACTATTCAACTGTTACACCTTAAGTTTACCGTCAGTGTTTGAATATTTGAGTATAACTTGTAAGCTTTAAAAAATGTTTGGAAAGTGTTAACATTTGTTGCTACTTTTAAATAAAGAAATTTTTCAATCAGCTTTCTGAGGTTAAAAGTTAGTTTTGTAAACTTTACTTTTGATTACATAACRTTGATTTGAACCTTGTGAAATAAACTTGTTTTACTTTATATGGGACAAAACTGAGCTTACATTCTAAAATAATGTAATGTTTTAATTAGGCTAATGTTATACTGTATTTTTCAGCTGAAAGTATTGGTAAAAATAGTAAAGTGGAAATAGCAGTAGCATCTGTGTTYGTTGTACCTGATTTAGACGAGGCAGTAAGTCTTTTCCAGCAGCCTTCCAAAAAAAAAAACCGAAGAAAAAAAATCCAATCAAGAATTCTTGTTGAATTCGCTCTTATCCTCTCAGAAAGAGAAAAAAMGTTTGTCCAGAGGGTTTCTTGTGATATCCTGACCTGGTCAGTGTTTGCTGAGCTGATCCTTGTTTGGACGATGACCTCCTCTGTTGTCAAAGGCTCATTCTCTCAATGCCTTTACCATGGCAGATAAGCCCGCACAAAAAAGCATCCCCACTCACCACAAAAGCGTTCGCTCTCAGGTGATATTAAAAAAAAATCCTAATGGCTGCCGCAATCGTCAAGCTCAACAGCCATAACAGCGAATGATTAATTTTTTTTTTTTGCGTTGGACAGTGATCCGTGAGTTGGATGGCATGAGCTTTAACAAATGCTCCCTTCTGCCATCAGGCCCGGCAGACATGATGGGTTGACACAAAGCTGGTCTGAGCCATGCCAATCCCACCTCTGCCACAGGCTCGATCCAGACCTGTGTGCTTGTGTCTTCAGGTAACCCAGAATCCTTTTCTCCCTTCTCGAGACTGTACACACATTAATCCAAGGATCTGCTTCCTTTTCCTGTAGCAGATAACCAGGGTTCTCGTCGTCTCCTGGGAGCAAAACGGCGCGAGTTGCTTATCCTTGTGGGTCCAAGCTGTCTCATGCATCTGCAGCTCGAGTCATCCTCGGGACACCTGGGACATTGTTCTGGAAATAAAAAAACATATTAGTCACATTGCTGTTTTTATGGTCAGATATTTATAATTTTCTTCAAATCAGGGAAAACTTCACACAGATTTACGAGCRGTTTCATTAGATTCTGGGAGAATGGAAGTTTGAGAAATGTTTTAYGCTGGTCGTTGACCTTTTATTGTGATTTTGTATTTAAAAACGCCCTTCCTTTACTGCTGTCACTTCGCCTGTTGACCTTTACAGCCACTTTCCCTGACTACTTTTTTCCCCTATGGTGATAGAAGAAAGAATGTCTGTGTATGCAAAATAAGACTGCGATTTAGACCCGAAACTCAACAATGGCTGAGGGTGGAGCTGCTGTGCCCTTCTTGCTCTGGTTCAGTGCATAGCTGAACCAGAGCTAAACACTTTAGGTATTAAATAAAATGGGTCATGCTAGCCAGTTAACAAAAGCTTAGATCTGTTGCATGAGATAAGAACAGATCTAATCAGAGTTTGGTGATTAACTCACCAGAGACAAATGAGCAAATGAAATTCATTTAAATTTTAGATGAAACAGACAATGACGGTTGCTTCTCTCCATGTGACCCCATCCCCAGCCTCGATTTACATTTCGAATCCTGTTTCTCTTTTGCAAAAATAGATTTTCTTTTCCCTGCCAAAGACAACATCGCGTTCCATTTTTGACAACACAATAGCTTTAAATGTAAGCACCCGTGTGACCCGAATGCTGCCACTGCCTGCTGTAAAACATTCAAAGGTAAATTAGGAACAAGAGGCCCGGCCGTTTAACAGTTGTAACCCCTGACAAGGAGAAGATTAGGGAATTGAGAGSCTTGTAACTTGATTACAAGTCCTGAGATGCTGTCTCATAATAACACCCCCCCTTCCTTCTGTTCCATCTAAACACGGGCTCTCAGTCCACTATTACATTAGTAGTAGATTAGAGTCTCGGGGAAAAGGGAAAAAAAAATACACCAGATGCGACCTCGACTAACTTGTCGAATAAAGGAGTCTGACGAGGGGGGGAAAAGATTAAATACTGTAATGGAGTTTTTCGAAAATGGTGGGATGATAGAGGGATGTGTGCTGCTTGTCTGTGGGAATGAACTTTTAATGCAGCACTTAGGCAGGCTATTTCAAATTTAAATGGCACTTTTTGCCTCAAAGTTAGTAGTGATCTTTTTTAATATTGCAAAATGTGTTTTCAATTTAATTTCTTGAAATTCTAGCATTTGATAGAAAAATTATCTCTGCTTTTCGGTTTTATCGTGCAGCGCCAGGAAAGCCTATCTGCTGTGAGGCTAATAGACTTTTGCAGTTAGGACACAGACTTTATTTTTTTAACGCAGAAGTGCACTTGCGATTTGGTACACAGTTTTCAGTTATTTGCCTTTTCTCTTTGGCCGCTGCAGCTCTGTTAGATAACAACCTGACTCGCTGTTTAGTCACTGGGGCAGGGGACGGTTATTAAATAACACGATGAAGCTCGTGCTTTTTCACAAGAACTTTATGTTTGTTTTTTAAAAATGCACATTTGGGCCTAGATACTTGATTCCTCCCCTCTTTTTCTTTCTTTTTTCCCCCTGTGCTCATCAGATTTCAGGAGAGTGGCCCCCMTTTTCATTGTTTGCTACAAGGCAAGCATGTGGACTGTGCAGAGTCACCGAGGGGATTTGGGCTTTAAAACACTTTTACACAGAAATTTCTAAACATCTCCTGCTCTGAGCTAGCATTAGGCAAGCCTCTTTTACTCATTTAAATTCTCACACCACGTGTGTGTGCTAATAATTATTTAGAGAGCAWTAGACGCTGAGTTAACATTTTAGTGATGGACGCCTTTCTCTATCGCTCTAATAAGCTTCGCCGGGAGGACAGAGGACGTCTCTCGCAGTTCAAGTGGATTCTGCTTCATTTAGTCTGAACTGGCAAAGTTAAATTGACCATCCTGGAAAAAAATGTCCATAAGTGTGTGTGTACAGCTAAGATACCTTTCAGTGGAGAGAGTGGGAGACTCGCACAAAGCTGGACATTGATAGCTATTGTGAGGTGAACACGCATAAATGCACATTAGTCTGTAAAAACAGAGACGGAAACTTTGTGCCCCCTGGTCACACACTCTAAGAGAGAGGCTTTTAGGAAAAAAACAAAACCTCAAATAGAAACAATTTCATGCCTGTCAAACGTACGGCAGAAAATAATGGCTTTTACTTCCGTAAAATGCAGAATAATGTTACGTTGACTGCGTTTAGGCAGGAAAGAGCTGTAGAAGTTGTAATGGCTGACTTTTAAATTATTCATGAGCTCTGAAATTAATTTTAAACCACAGTAGAGCTCTCCACAGGGAAATCAATTTTGTTTGTATGTCATGTTCACTCTATAATTTAGAATATTATGAATTATGATTGATTAGGTAGATTTGTATTTAAATATTTTTGCAGAGGTCCTAAAAATTGTGAGCTAGGATAGTTTTTTTTTTAAATATACATATAAATTGCAAAGCTAACTGGATGTAAAAATYTCTGGTTTCAGGCTGTTTTCATGTGCTAACAAAGCTTTAATAAGCTGGACGACACCTGGCAGAGGTCTACTCTGCTGCCAAAACACAAAGGATCATTCAGGATCCCAGAAAAATGTTCCAGGCCAGGAGAAAACGGACCAAAATCTCAAGAGTTTCACAGATTTGGTATGTGGCCTCCTGGTGCTGTCTTTACACGGGCTGAACAGATGACACTTTTGCTGGTCCATTAATAACATCTAGGCCCGGGACAGACGGGGGTCTCCTTTTGTAGCAGCCTGAAAGGAGAGATCTGTAGCAGCTGCAATTGTTTTTCCCCACATGGGGGTGGTAGGCACTGCAAGATAAAAATGTATGCATGTGTGTGTGTGCGTGTGTGCGTCTGAGGCAAGCAAACACTAAGACATGAATGCTTCTGTTAAGCTGCAGAAGCCTATCTCGGYGCAGGCCAGACACCTACCAAAATAAAGGGATTTGTTAACCTCCCCACTGAGTTTTATCTGTCATTCCCACAGTATTTAAGTTCTGCACACCGTGTGCTTTCTCTTTAGGAAGCTATGAAATGATTGTCTCGTTAGGGCTTGGTGTGAGTATATTATAAAAAGAACAGAATTAGCCCCTCTCTTAGCCTACGGTGTTCAACCTGAAATACGTTTTATAAAAAGTACTTTTTCTCCCGCTCCTGGCCCACTCATCTATATTTTATGCTTTAAATTTTCCAGACTTAGTAGGATCTGTAGTGACCTGGTTAGCTGTTAATCTTCCATGTGAATTCCCTCTGAAAACAAGTGACTGGGGACTTTTAGCCTCAGGCAGCTATCAGACAAGAACTGGGCCTGTCTTCATGACTGCCATGTTTAACAAGCTGTCTCTGCTGAAAACAACGATTGGCCGTCACATGGCCCGCAAACTGAAGTCATAGCCACCTCTGGAGTCAGTTCACAGCTTATGTATGACTATTATTTAAAGCCTGGCTGACCTTATTGTCTCAGGAAGATAAAAAAGGTTGTGTTAAATTGGATTAACTGCCCCTGCCCTGCTGTTGCCAATAGGGATCCCACTTTATTGTACTGGTCTAATGTGGTAAACATCAGTTTGTGTGATGGTGGAGGAGCGAGGAGTTTACATTGAGGTTTATAGTGAATAAATAATCTGTCAGTCCACCATATAGGCTTTTCTGTACACTGCATTTATTTCTGAGTGCCTATTAATATTACAGCCATATCTGAGCTGCAATTACATCCTAACTCAGATTTTTCTTTTGTAGCTGAGTTTGTGAACTGTTTGCTAAAAATGCAAACAGATGTGAAACAGTGCATTTTACTGCAGCTCTTTTTGTGAAAATATTAATTAAATGCACAGATGAAGATGATTTTGATTTATTTTATTTTATATCCGCGTGGTCCAGACAGACACTGGCCAGCCCTCCCACCCCTCCAGATGTCCCCTCGCCTCTTCAGTGTCTGACTCCCCGGGATCTGCGCTGCAGTTTCAGCAGCACACTGGGGGTGTCTGCTCGGGCTGTGACACACACACACACACACACACACACACACACACACACACAC